GTTCATTCAGCTTCAGGACATGAACTCTGTGCTGTTACCTGAATCCACCATACCCACCTGTAAAGGAGGGCAGTGTTAAAGTCAGGTCTCAGGAGTCACACAGTCCATCATGACTGCTGACTAGCTTTGTGACCTTGCACAGGCTACTTAATTTCTGTGCTTATGTCTCCTCAGTTGGAAAGAAGAGATAGTTAATAACAATACCCTGTTCCTATGGTTGTTAGGGAGATTATATGAGCAATATATTTAGAATATTTTTAGAGTGTCTAGCACATAGCATTAGCTCAAAAAACTATAGAAAAATATAATTATAATAAAAAATTTAAAATGGACCTCTAAGATTCCAAATTCTACTTTGCTTCCTGATGAAAGCTTTGAAGAATGGATTTATGGAAAGGAAATGAGAGAGAAGAAAATCAGGAGCAGGTAGGTTAGAGGAGGTAAAGAAAAGACAGGAAAATTTGCCATTGGGATAACTCAAAGTTTAAGCAGTACTAAGAAGATAACATTTAAATAACAAATAAAATATATAAGAAGAAATCTTAAATATGGAAATTTAATATTCAACCCAGAAGTTCTATCAAAAAACCCTTGCATTTAGTGAGGACTCAGTAGACATATGATTAATTGGTTGGCTGATTAAATATGACTAAATACTGAGCTCTTCAGCAGACAACCTAAAGTTTGGTTCTCTGGATAGAATGAAGGCTAAGAAAAATATATGGTCTTAGGGTCTTCTGAATAAGGCTAGAGAGACACTGAGATGGATTCTCTCCCTCCTTCCCTACCTCCCTTTTCTCTCTCTCCCTCTATTACTCTCTCTGTGTAACCAGACATTTTTGTCCAAGCCATTTATTGATAAACAAAAGATCAAGAAAGGGATTGTTGAGCACTTCTTTAAATGCTTAATGCTAACACTGTTGCTCATAAACACGCACATTGACCCCTTTTCTTAATAACCAAGAACTTGAGTGCAGGTCAACCTATTTTTAACACTGAGGATGGAAGGAAGTTTGATGTGGAAGACAAGGAAAGGTATTCTTTTCTTCTGACACCTCTTTAGCTAGTTGGATGTTTCATCACCACTGTGACACAGTCTAGTCGGTTTTGGACTTTATCCCTTTCCAGAATCCAGAGTGACTCCAGCAGTTTCCCAGACCTGTCTAGGGTGAGGGACATTAGCCACTTTGAAAGGCAGCTCCAGGGACACAAAAACTATTACAAAAATGTTACTTAGTGGCAGAAGGTACTTAGGTGTAGGTTTTTCTCAGTCAGCAGAAATCTGACCTCTGCTCCCTCCCCAACCCTTCCCTAGTCCTCATTCTGAAAAGTCGAAAAAATGTAGAACCATGAGTATCTACTAAGAGGAGACAGCAGAGGAGTGCCAGGCCCTCTGACCCAGAACATTGCCGTCTGTTCCTTTTAATATACTCCTTTTATGGTTTATCTTTTAAATACTAAAGCTAATAAATCTCTACTCTCTTTAAAGTCAAAGAAATTGGAATTATAACTTTATAATTGGCAATCATGAAACTGGGAGGGAACAAGCACAGCTCAGGAAGGAAGAATAAAGATTTTGAACATCCCAGAACAACCTGTTATTTAGTATAACGATAATGGACACACAGGAAAAGCGGAGCCACCCGATCCCAAATTTGCCATTTCATCTGTTAAGAAAAATTCACTCCAAACAGGGAAGGACTAAGTTCACAGATTTACAAGATTGATGCCCAAGATGAGAGAGTGGTTGTCACAGAACGTGAGTTCATTCCTGTCTCCTGGCCCAGGTGAATTATAGTGCAGGCTCTAAAGCAAGTGTGAGGTCGAATTCCTATCAGGGTTAATTAAGCAGGTCTGGGAGTATTTCACAGGAGTGGTAATCACTGGGAAATAGCATGGGCTCACTAAAAACAAGTCCTGTCGGTTGTTTTCTTTTGTTAAAGGCAAGTACCTGGCAAGGAACTGAATCAAACAAATGCCAGTGAATAGGAAGTTCTGCCATTAGGAATGCCAAACCACTTCCCAAGAACAGAATCTGGGTCTTGGAAGCAGGATATAGTTTAAGAGCAGCATGAAAGATTTATAAGATTTCATTTTTTAAAATTATTTTTCTCCAACTTTATGGGGGAATAATTGATAAGTGATATTGCTTATAATTAAAATGTACAATGTGATGATTTGGTGTACATATACATTATGAAATGATTACCAAGATCAAGTGAATTAACGCATGCATCACCTTTTAAATTTTTTCTCTTTTAAAAACTTTTTTTTGTGCGTGTGGTGAAAATATTTAAGATCACTCTCAGCAAATTTCAAGTATATAATACTGTATTATTAACTATAATCACCATGCTGTACATCAGAACCTTACAACTGAGAGTTTAGCATATATCTCTCCATCTTACCAATCCCCAACCGTTGGCACCCATCATTTTACTCTGTTTCTATGAGATCAGGTTTTTTTGTTTGGCTGGTTGTTTTTGATTTTTAGATTCCACATGCAAATGATACCATGTAGTATTTGTCTTTCTCAGTCTGGCTTATTTCACTTAGCATAATTCCTTCCAGGTTTATCCATATTGTTAGAAATAGCAGGATTTCTTTATTTTTTAAAGCTGAATAATATTCCTCTGTGTGTGTGTGTGTGTGTGTGTGTGTGTGTGTGTGTGATTTCCACATTTTCTTGATCCATTGGTCCATTGATGGACATTTAGGTTGTTTCCATCTCTTGTTTATTGTGAATAATGCTACAATGAACATGGAGGTGTAGACGTCTTTTCAAGATAGCAATTTTATTCCCTTCATATATATATCCAGAAGAAGAATTGCTGAATCATATGGTTGTTCAATTTTAATTTTTTGAGGAACCTCCATTTTGTCTCCCATAGTGGCTGCACCAATTTACATTCCCACCAGCCATGCACAAAGGTTCCCTTTTCTGCACGTCCTTGTCAACCACCATTCTGACACCAGAATATCACTTTCACATATTCTTTTGGTTAAAGTAAGTCACAGGGCCAGCCCAATTCAAAGGGGAAGGGAAACAGACTCAACTACTTGGTTCAAGGAGTGGTAAAGTCATGTTGAAAAAGGACATATGGAGTGAGAGGGATGGTTGTGGCTGTCCCTGGAAACAATCTACCAATTTGTCCTTGGGAAATTATTTAGCCACCTGATTTCACATGCTTTACCTATAAAATGGGAAATAATAACACCTACTTCTTAGGAATGTTGTCACTAATAAATTAAGAAAGTGTGTTTAGCATCATCTAGTACATTGTAGACACACAACAGCAACAACAAAAACATATGTTGATTGAGCCCATATTATGTGGCAGCATATTCCAAATACTCTATGTAATCTTTATAAGAATTCATTGATGCACATATTAGTATTATCTGAAGAGAAACCCTAGGCACAAAAATTTTAAGTAACTTCCACAAGGTTGGTTCCACAGTAACCATTTTCTCTAAATTACAAATGTCTTACTGCCTGCTACCTCCAAAGGGCACTTCTTAGTTTTTGTCTCTCTAGGCTCTGTTGACAATTGATGCTGTGGATCACTCTTTCATCAAATGCTCTTCCTCCTTTGGCTCTCATGACTCCCCTCTGTCCGGGTTTTTTCAATCTCCTCCTTACTGAAGCACATTTTAAATGGCAAAGCTCTCTTCCAATTTTCCAGCTCTCCTTGCCTGGATGAACCCATCCAATATGGCAACTAAACTCTAGGCTTCCAATTGTAAGTATCTTCCGCTACTTACCAGATACGACCTAGGTCAGTTTGTGTAACTTCTGTGTCTTTCATTCTGTCTCATCCCATTGGTTGCAGTCTTGTCAATTAATACTTGAAAGGTTTCTCAAATTTAGATGTTCTTGGCAATCAGCTAGTGCTTTTGGCCTGATCTAGGCCCTTGTCATATCTGGCCTGGTTTATCAAAGTTTGTTCTTAACTGGCTTTGACACGAGTTTTACTTAAAGCTAATAATATTATTAACTTTATTATTATTACTATTATTCGAGGTTACTCTGCCTCCTCAAGTATGAACTTGGGCTGGTGAACTGAGCCTTTATGAGCCTCAGGTTTTTCATTGGTAAAATGAGGATAACAGTTATGTAGACCTTGGGGGGCTATCAAGGGAATGAAATGAGATTCTATATCTAAAAGGCGTGTGGTATAGTGCCTGGCACCCCTCTCCTGCTCCCCTCCCCACCGGAGTTCAGTCTTCGTAGTTATTTCTGTGTTTATTGCCTGGGAGTGTGAAGAGGTGGGTGCATAAGAGGTGGCCAACGTTCTCTTCCCCAAACCTCAGATTCTGTGATAGTCTAACTTGGTGTGTGCAGGAGACACGCTGGCAATCCTCGGATTTCTAGTCAGTTGCTTAGAAAACCAGCCAGGATCTGTGTCCCAGCACCTTTCTCAGGAGCCATTTATTTGACCTTATTTCTGATGTGAGAGCCTCCACCGTCTCCAAATCACCACCGTGGTGGAAAAGATCCTGCACTTGGGAGATTCTTCCTTTGTTGGCAAATCTTGGCCCCGAACCCGCCTTTGGGGGTCTAGCACCCTTAGGCCCGTGATTTATGTCCAGACGGCGCTTTTCAAGTTCGAAGCCGGGACTAGGTTCTTCAGTTTGGGCGGGTGTGGTTCAGATTGCACCTTTCGCGCAGCGCACCCAAGAACGTGCTTTCGACGCACCGGGCGTGGGGCGGTGGGAGAGAGTGTTGGTTTGCAAGAGGACGGAGGGGTGGGATGGCGAGAATGCCCACAGCGCGCCCCCGCTCACACTCCCCAAGCCTGAGCGCAGCCGCTCTGAGCGCCTGGTCCGGAGGCGAGTCCCGCGCTCCTCTAGGAGCGGGCGAGCGCCCTCCGTCCAACGCTGGCGCCCGAGCCGGGCCCACCGGGATCCCAGCCCGCGGCGCGCGCCACAGACCGGGCCCCGCCCCCCGGCGGCCGCGAGTGGCGGGCGGGGCGCCGGGAGAGAGGCGCGCGGGGCTGTGCGGCGCCACCTCCCCTCCGTGCCGGGGGAGGGAGGGACGGAGCGGACGGGCGGGAGAGAGAGAAAGCCCGACCGACCGGCAGCCGAAGAGCTGCATGCAACCGGTGGGAGGCCGGGCCAGCCGGGGCTGGGGCTCGGGCCGTTTCTTGGCGGCTCCCTGACGGAGAGCGCGGACGGCCCGGAGGCGGCGGCTCTGAGCTGGCAGGCGGAGGGTTGTCTCCCGCGCCCGCCTGCCCGGCTCGGTCCGAGGATGCGGGGGGGCGATGCCCGGGGCCAGGGACGCGCTCTGTCACCAGGCGCTGCAGCTGCTAGCCGAGCTCTGTGCCCGTGGGGCCCTGGAGCACGACAGCTGCCAGGATTTCATCTACCACCTGCGGGACCGCGCCAGACCCCGGCTTCGCGACCCAGGTGAGTGCAGCCGCCGCTGCTGGGCGCGACCGGAGGGCCCTGTGCTGGGAGTTGGGGCCGCACCGGGGCCTGAGGCAGAGGAGCGACGCGGACTGGGGGAATGTGGGGGGTGGCCGCCGACCTAGAGGAGGGGATCAGGAAGCGGCTCGCCGTGGCCTGATGCTGGACCCGGGCGGGGACCCGGGCAGAGGCTGCTGCGCGGAGGCCGGGTCCGGGGGGACTGGGGCAGGGCTGGAGGGACCACGCCCGCCACCTGCGCTCCGGTCGCCCTCGCTCCGGGGGGCGGCTCCCGAGCTCCCGGCTCCGCGCTCCACTTCCCGGGCTCTGCGCTCCGGCCGAGGGGAGGCCGCGGCCGCTTCTCCGCCGTGGGAAGGGGGACGAGGCCGGAGGAAACTCTGGGAAGTTGGGAGTTGGGGACGGCCCCGGCTGCGGCTGAATCCCACTGGGCACTTCCCACTCTCTCTCTTGAGCGCCCATTTCCCTTCCCCGGTCTGGGGTGGGAAGGGCGGGGCGGGATCTGGCTCGGGGCCGGCTACGGGGAGCTCCGGGTCCTGGGCAGCCCGGCCTGAACCCGTTCCCGGCGGGTCGTTTGGCGTGGAGGCGGCCTGGGCCTGGGCGCCCGGAGCTACCAGCTGCCGCCGCCGGGCACAAACGGGTCGGTGGTGGGCTTGCTGGTCATGGCTGGGGCACCTGCACTTATCCCTAGTGGAAGTTGCACAGCTCCTAACTTTGGAAAGTTCGTTTATTTTGGCATTTGACCAATTAAGGTTAGAGGAAGGAGTTTTAGTGGAGCCATTTGCTTTTCCTAAGGGCCCTGGGTCTCCCACATTTCATCCACTGCTGTTTACTGGAAGACACAGTCCAAATGTTTACTTGAGATTCTTCTTACCTGGAGAAATCATTTTCTCGAATATTCTCTCAACCTAAATACAAAAAAAAAAAAAAAAAAAGTATGCGTTAAAGATGGGATGAGAAAATGGCCTTTCCCCTTGATGTTCCTGTGTATAAATATTGGAAAGGAGCTATTGCTGTGCAAATTATCCAGTACAAATTTACCTCATTTTAAGCCAATCCATTATATAAAAATCTGCTTGCACAAAGGATAATTATTTGATTTATAAAGAGATACACAGCGAGTCTGACTTACATAGCATTTCCTTGATAGTATATTCAAAATGGGTCGGTGGGGTGAAGACAAATCATCTGCCAAAAGTTTATATCAGATTTTCCCTACTCAAAGTCTATTTTTCTATTGAAAAAGAAAGATTATTGTTCCCTGTTGCCTGTGGTTACATTAATTAAGTTTATCAGATGATCACTAATGTGTTACTTCAAACTGCAGAATTAAGTCAAGAAATACTGTTGATCCCAAACAATTTCCCTGGAGGTTCAATGCCCAGCCTTTGTGTGGCTTCCTGCTGGCTGTGATGTGCCACAGAGCTCCTTGTTTCGTGAACTGGGAGCCCTGGATGATGTCCTAAGTGGGGAAAGTTCTCTCCTTGAGCCATGGGAACAAGAAAATTATTTAGCATGCTTCACCCAGAGCAAGTATTAGTGTTGAAATGTCTCATTTGCTTGCCTGTGACTGTGCCACAAATTCCCATTGTTATCCCACATAAGTCGTCTCCTTTGGCTTTCTTTGTAAGAGAAGATGAGTGAGGCCTCTTGCTGAGTCCATGTTTAACACTCCACATCTTTTTGGCTGATTTTATGCCTCTGCTTCTTTTAATATATAAGCTGGATTCCATGTTCTTGGGCTTTGCTTGGCCCCTGCACTGGGTTGCCCTTGAGGAAGAGTCACAGAAAAAAACTCCCTGCAAGAAACAAGTCTGATAACTTGGCTGAGAAGAAGCCACAGTTAAGAGTATGCCCTGCTAGTCCTTGAGTTCCTAAAAGTGCTATGGTGCTTTCCTAACTAGGGCATGGTGGTTTCTAGGTAGCCCATGCCTCTCTGGATCTTTGGTTCAGGCTGGAAGCAGCCTGCTCCTGAGGCAGGAGTGGGGCACTGTGAGCATGGGGTGAGAGGGACGGAGGCTAAAGCCCACATCCAGAGTGCACCCTCTCTCCCAGGGCACTTCAGCTCAGGCCAGATCTCTCTTCACTTCCCTCCTTCCTCTCCTTGCCCACATTAATTCTTATATTAGATGCATTTATCTCTATCCCTCTGAAGCTGTTTGATTGTCTGAACCAAGAGTGGCTTTCATTTCGAGCGCTAAGAGCTGAGTGGCTTGAGTAGCTGCATTGCACAACACTGCACATGGTGCCCTGGCGATTGTCTAGTGTGAACCAAAATAAGCATACACACTGGTCCTGGGACACGGGTCCCCGACAAAGTCCTCTCTGTAAATGAATGACTTCCTTTTCTGCAAAGGGACTCAACTGAATGGCATTTGCCAGCTTTCTCTGTCCATTGTCTATCCATGCCTACTCGGTGGTAGTTAGATTTTCTCAAGCTCCACCGAGGAACTTTGGTTTTAGAAGAAGAACACAGACATCATTCCCTGTGGGGAATTATGCAGAGGGACACTGCATCTGGGATATTTGTTCATTTTTTTCAGAGGTGGACTATGCGTGGGTCACAGATCAGTGGCCATCCAGAAGGGTTATTCCCTGCCCAGGTAGCTGGGGTGCTCTGATGTGGGAGTACAGTACCTAGTCTCCCCTGACTTGGTGTTAAGAGAGGATTTGATGAAAGTGCAGTGTTAAAAAGTAAAGCTGAGTCACATTTGGATCTGGAATGCCTCACCCAGGCTTTCATCTGTATGAACTATGAAAGTAAAGTGCTGATCTTTAAGCTGAGTGTGAGCAATTTTTTTTCTCCATAGAGAGCAGTTAGAATCCTTCTGTTAAGTGTCTTTATGTTGTTTCATATATTGGGGATGTGGGACATAAAATTGCAAATCCCAGAGTGTAGCCTTCATGACAGAGGGAAGAGCAAGTACAAAGGTCCTGAGATAAGGGCATCCTTGATGTGATTCAAAGAACAGTGAGTTTAAGGGTGGCTGGAGAGAAAAAAATTGAGAATGATGAGAAACATGGTTGAGGGCTGGAGGGGAAAGATCACATAGGGTCTTGTCAACCAGCAGAAGGACTTTGGATTTTACTCTCAACGAGAAGGGAGGGATTGAGCAGAGAAGTGGCAGCAATGGGGCTCTTTGATGAGAAAATGCTGTTGAAGAACAAGGGGAGAGACAGAGAAACTTGATAGGAGGCTGTTGTCGTGATGCAGACAGAGTGGGAAGTGGGTTGGCCAGCGTTGTCATAATGGAGATGGTGACAAGTAACTGGGTTGTGGGCACATTTGAAGGTAGCTATGCTAGGATTTGTGGATGGGATGGATGTGTGGCGTGGGAGAAGTGGAGTCAAAGAAGACTCCAAGGCTTTTTGACCGAGGTTACCTCCATTTACTTCAAGGGGTGGAGGGAAGAAGGAAATGAGGTTTCTGTATTACTAAAAAATATTTTTTTGTAAATATTAAGTGTGTGATGTCTCTCAGTTCAACAGTCGCCTGAAACATGAATGTGTTCTTTAACAACATCAACTGGTCTATGCTCACATTTTGTAACTGGAGACTTCACACTCTCTCCTCAAGAGGGCCGATTGATTGTAGGACAGCATTTATTGTTAGAAGATTTTTTCCTGGTATGGAATGAAGAGTTCTGTTTAACTTTCACTCGTGGACCTTGGTTGCACTTTTTTTTTCCCCCAGTTAAAAACAATTGGTTTTTTCCTTTGGCTGTAAGGAGGTAGAGATGTTAGCTTTTCTTAACCCACTGTTTCCACATCTGGAAAAGAAGGGAGGATTGTGTCATGTAATTCCTAGGTTTTAACCACGTTGTATTATTTTCCTTATAAGCCTTTTCTTCTCTAGGATGCCAACCGTGTCCATGCCAAACTCTTTATGTAGGTCATTTCATTTAATCCTCATGATGTCTTCTAAGACCTTGCTGCTCCAAGTGTTCATCTGTGGACCAGCAGCATCAGCATCATCTGGGAGCTTATGAGAAACACAGACTCTCAGGCCCCACCCAGACCTACTGCACATGAATCTGTGTATTAACAGGATCCTCAGATGATTTATAGGCACATTCAAATTTGAGAAGCATGGCTAAAAGAGATTGGTATTTATGAATAAACTGAAGCTCAGAGCTAAACTAGCAGCAAGGCCATGGGTTCCATTTGGAAAGGGTTGAGTCTAAGTCAAAGTAGCTTCTTAGGTAAACACATTACATGTACTAAGAATCTGAGAGTTATTGTCAATGAAAATTTCCTAGGTCTTTTTTCATAAGAGCCCCCTTCAGATCTCCTTTGTCTATTGCGTTCTTCTATAAAGGATTTAGTCTCTTACTGTAGGTTAAATTCTACGCAGTTGTAAAGATTCAGCTTAATTTTTAGGTTTTATGTTGACATTCCAGCTTTGTGTTTCTAGAGATTTTTCTTCATTTTGTGGTCAGGGTGTGAAGAAGAGCCTTATGGCTCATCATTAGTGACTTCTCTTTTCAAGTGGACATTGACCTTCTCAGGAAAAGTTCTTTCTAAACAAATGGTTTTCAACCTTGGCTGCACATTAGCAACATTTCGGGAGCAAACAAAACAAACAAAGAGTTACCAATGACTGAGCTTTACTCTAGACAAATTAAATCTGAGTCTCTGGTGGTGGGGCCTGTTATCAGCATATTTTTAAAGTTCTTCTGTTGATTCTAAAGTGTTGATTCCAAGTGGAGGACAACTGTTGAGACCATCAAGCAAAGGATTAAACCACCTAATCTGCTCAGCTCAGCTCAGCTCGTATTTCTTTCCTGAAAAATTAGGAAAGATGGTATGGAAAGGCAGGGGTGTGGTTAACGGTTGCCATACACATCGACTGATTCTTTATTTTCCTTTGATAATATTGCCCCCAATTTTTATTTTGAGGTTTCTGTAAAAATCTAATGAGATCCATTATGTTCACCCAACTTGGGGGGCTGGGGGTGGAAAGAAGAACAAACTGAGAAAATCGT